ATTTTTGTTCGTTCCTCGTAAAATAAATTTCGAATACAAAACCGTATAACTTTTTTTTATTATTTATTTATTTAAAAAAATGGAAAATTGAAAACGCTTTGAATTGCCTGACTTCGTGAATGTTTGATTGAATGCGAGGCATAGAAATTTTGATTTTAATTTTTTTCTCATTCAATTTAAATTGAAATTTATGTATGACTCCTTGTCAAGAATCGATTCAAATTGAAATCAATTTATTGCCTGACACATTCGTGGTCAGAAACATTGTTTTATTACGATTTAGAATATTACAAGTTTCCTTTATTATTTCCCTAATTCGTGGAAAAATCTATTTTACTACGATTCATTTAATATTCAGAGGAAAACTGGAAAACGTATTCAGATCGGTCCTTCATGCTATAAATATTCATGTAAACTTATTGGCACAATCTTCAATAAAATTCTCCTTCTAGAATGTCCATTAAAAAAGCATGTCAAACATGTTAAATAACTTTAAGTTTTAAAATTTCAATTCTATTGTTTCACTTTAGGTGTCACTAATACCAGCCGTAAGTGTAACGGTGCGATGAATTAACACAAATTAATCAAAAGCAATTGATTCTTGCCAAATTAACAGTAAAATAAAAAACAATTTACGTTGTAAAAGAGACATCGTTTCATAATAACATAAAAAATATAAAATGTTAATAACCATTGTTTGAAGCATGTTCTGTGAACAGGAATTACGGATTATAAGCATTTGCTGTAGTCTTTCGTTTGTGTAAAAAATAATTTTCATCAGCCTAAGGGAGATATTTTGAAAGTTCAAGAGTCTTGAAAGACAACAAAATATTTAATTGCGATTGTAAAATGAGTAAAAGAAATTCATAACATTTCCATTCAATTGTCTTCCAAAGCATGTTATCGAAAACAATTGAGCAAGCGATCACTTAGAAGAGAGAAGAAGAAGCTAAAGAAGATTAAAGCATGTCGGAATATATTTGAAACGCTTATTTATGATATATTTGCATGCAAATATTTGTATGTTTATATTTTATGGCATAATAAGGGATAATCCTTTTAATAACCTTTTTTCGGTAAAATATCTGAAAGATTACTTGTAGTTTTGAGTTGACAAAGAAAAAGAAGTTTTTTAAATCTACATGACAATTTTCTGTTTACCTAAAATAAGATAAATAGATGAATTTACTATTTATTTGCCAACAAACTATTTCAAAATGTTCAATTCCTTGAATTAACTTAAATGCAAGGTATTTGAAATTGCTTTTTTCTTTTAGGAAAAAAGAGTCATTTACAAACGTCACAAACATTCTTTCAATCTTTCTACGTACACCCTCGCACAGCAAGCGATATTCTGTTGTTTTCACCCTGTCTCACACTCAAATTTTAATTACATCTGGACAATTCTTTGAAAACAATAACGCACGAGATGAAGCAACCATAAAATGCACATCAGGATATATGAAAGTAGGAATTTTCATTTGCTTGTCTGTTGTTGCCCTTCTTAAGAACTTTTTCCAATTGACGGGGCTGAAAATCAATTTAATTGCAATAATAATAAAGTCGTTAAAAGTTTGCAGAAATTTGAAACATGACATGAGTGGAATAAAATTGTTTCATCATTTGAGTAGTTTTAATGTGAAAATATTCTATATTCAACATCAAGTAGTGTAAAGATAGATCTATGTATGGATTTAAAATAAATTTTAACAATCGTTCTTTGTTGACCCCGGAGCAATTTAGAATTTAGACAATATTCCATGAAATATTTCCACCCCGCATGAGGATGGAAGAATGTTTAAAAAGGGAACGTGCTTGACCCGTGGTTCACCCTAAAAATCCTTTCTATTGTTATTTATTAGAGTGTCGATAGTCAATAAATAAAATCTTTCCCATTTTAATAGAAGTAAGACCATACAAACAGGAAGAGAATAATATTCACAAAAGTAACAACATAAATGTCAAATTTATTTTAGTGAAGCGAAAGTATGAAAATTGTAGAGAGAACATGTCAAACATCCATTGAATCAATACAATTTCAAGTTTTATGCATTTTCGCATGTGTCATCGTTAAAAAGAAGCTGGACAATGGCCATTTATATTTATAGGATCATTTTTACTGTTTGAACTTCTCGCCAGATGCAATGTGTGCTCAATAATAATAATAATGAATGGCAAGTTTTGTGAAAAGAAAGAAATGACCCAGAAAAAATTAATGTTAGATTCATAAAAATGAACAATTGTAAATTGGTGATTAGTGTCGATTGGTTTTCATTAAACGTGCAAATTGCGAAACGATTTTTTCTAAAAATATTTAATATGTGAATTCTGTCACTCAAGAGGTCACTTTTATTAGTTATCCATCCATATGGTAATCTTTTGTTTGTTTCATTGTAAAATATTTAGAATAAATTTATTTACAGTTGTGGAAAATGTAGATTAAATATTTAAATTTGTTGACTTTTCAAAAGTGCTACTCGTCACCTTCCGTTTAAATTCTTTCCTAGGGGTTTTCATGATTAAATGACATTCGAGATCACATTAATTTTGACAAAACAAATAAAATATTATTCGAAACCTATTATATCTAATAATATTCAGAAAGATTTTGTCGAAAATGGATTCAAAGAAACATCGTGAGAAAAAAACTTGATTCTATCTTTCTGATATTTTAGTCTTTTTAGTCTAATGAAGGAAACACCTCATTAAAATTTTCATCAGAACCCAAAAAAGAATCAGAAAGATGATAAAAATGATTTTTTTTTTGTCTTTAGAAATTCCTTTTTTTCTTCGTGTCTTTGTTTTGGGATATCAACATTTTATCTTTCTAATATTTGTTTGTGATTTATTAAAATCATTTACATTTTTCTGAGAGTAGGTAGATAAATATAAGGAGATCTTTAGTGGAATGTCACATATTTGATGTACAGAAGAGAAGAGTAGAAATTCATATAACGACTGAGTTGCTTGAAGTGTCGTTAAGTCACCAACCCAAACTATGAGTCCTGACCATGGCATTCCCATTCGAACAACAAATTCTTCTTCAAATAAAACTTCATTCATAATCATCCGATGATTGTCTCTCACAGTGTTAATGAATGGAATAATTTCATCCCGACACACCAAAAGATTATCTGATGAAATTTGATATCAGTTGAAAGGCAATGATGGTAAATGCGACAAAATGACAAAATTCGTATTCCAAAGGTGAATAAACGTGTATAAGCGAGTTCGTTTTCAACTGACTGCCTGATACCGTCATAACTTTAAATATTTATTTTTAAAGGAAAAGTGATGATTTAAGAAATAAAAGATCTCTCATCTTTGAATGAATTATCAACTTAGTTTCAAGCAACTAAAGTCAGACACCGACGACATAAACTTAAAAATTTCAGACCAAAAACCGAAACATTATCTTCTGTCTTATTACCAATACTTTTGTGAGGAATCTCAAGAAAAGAAGAGAGAAAGAAGAAACGAGAAGAAGAGCAGAAATCACCATCAACTGCTTCATGAATGAATATTATACCTGCTGTGCTTGATTCGCTACTGAATCTTTTTTTAAAGTTTTTGTTGTTTTTTTACCATCAGACTCTACACAACGAGGAATAAAAGTAACCGAAAATAATTTGTGGACAGTCCGTTATTCTGAATGCCCACATGATAAAAATTAAAAATCAACAAAATGATGAATAACAGTAGCCACCCTCACATTTAACAAATTATTTTTCATGTGCGGAAATTTCTATTTAACTTCTGTATTCTTTCTGATTGATGACTTTTCGAAAAGTCGCCAACAGTGTTCATGAATAAATAAATCATCACTGATAAAGTGACTTTTAAATTGACCCATCTTTAATGAATCATGTTTAGAAGCATGTCTGCAAAGAAAAATTAATCAACCATCAAAAATCTTCGAGTGGACATTGCAATTGATAAATAAATCTTTTCAGCTCAATTAATGGCAATTCATTTAATTTTTCCCTCACACACTAGAACAATCTTCAACTGAGAATTGATGAAATGACAATGCTTGAATCAATTTTCCAGGAAACAATTCAGAACTAAAGTTAATTGAAAATTCAAATCGCAACATGAAAGTTAATTTATGTTTGAACTTAAAAATATTACAAACACATTTCATTAAGTTTTTTCTTCAAAATTCTATTACAGAAAGAAATATGTGACAAAAAAAATATAATTATCTTTTTATGCACATACATTCATACATATATAAGCCAAACCACCCCTTCCCTTTCTCAAAAAACGTTTGCTGAATTACTTAGTTTCACGAAGATTGTGGAGAGTGAAATAATTCATAGTAGCAAACACATCAACTCCATAGAAATGTATAATTAATTTTTGTTGACTCAGCAGTTTCTTTGCTTTTTCTGTGATTAGATTTGATGGTATAAAAAGTTCATATAAGAGTTTCTCTCAGTTCTATATGTTGATGGAGATATTCTTATTGTTTATTTTTCTTTCTTGATATATGCTTGTTTCAGCGATAGAAAATTCGTTTTTTCTTGCATTGCAAATATTGCTCTACTTACTTGAGTAAAATGCTAATAAGTTTCAACTTGATATTTATTTAATATTTCGCAAGATAAACTAAGCTCAGTAACTATTATAATACGTAAGTTTTGATCAAGCTAAGCATGGATGACTTGAACTTATACCGATTAAAGTTCGTTAAGTCAGCATCAACACTAATTCCAAATATTGATTGTAGTAACGCAAAAAGTTGATTTCATTTTTCGTCATAGATTTGTGATAGAATTTTATATTCTTCAAAAGCGACAACATTGAATGAGGGAAATTTACAGAATATTTCTTCTGTATTGGTCGATGGTCAGATTTCACAGAAAATCAATATTAAACTGCTACAACAATGCCGCAAATGCGACCCTTAGACTTCAAACATTTGTGAAATATATATTTAATGAAGGCAACAAAATGATAAATGTATCTGAAATGAAAATTTCATTACGAAAAGTCCGTTTTGTATGTCCATTTGGAAGTAAAAGACGAAGCGGAAAGATTAGAAAAGTAACTACTTACACGAGGGGATATAAATTCAGTCTCGCTTTTGCTACCCTTCAGACTATAACTCACTGAGAATTTTTTATTCTCCTTCTTCGGTACTTGAAGCTTGACGATTCACATATGAAAGAGGAGCGCTACACTTGAATATTACTGGGCATTTTTATTCCATTTCCCTTTTTCGAGGGAGTAGGAATAGCTCAAGTGTTAGTTCATTCACTGAACCTTTCTTATGCTTAAGAAAAGCGATATGTAGTGCTTTCAAGTGTTTTCTATGAAAGGAGAATTGGAGTCAGTTGTCTCCTGAATGCTTCACGTTCAATTTCCTTCTCCATCTCTGTTAAGAAAACCTTTTTTTGTGAAAATTTCTATATGAAAATCAATTTTTCGTTTCAGCAATGCATGAACATCATAGCACGGATTTCTTTGTGAACATAAATTAATCCTTAAAAGGTTTTATCATTCTTCTTTCCAAATAGAAGTTGCGCAAGCAGAATTGAATAAAAAAAAGGATATTTTAGATCTTCTTTGCTGTGAGAAATTTGAAAGATTTTCATTTTTATTTTGTCTATTTGCCAGATTATTTTTCCCCCATTTCATCCCATAAGAATGAAGAAAGAAGAATGGGAAATAATTTGATTTAAAGAGAACACTTGTATAAGCAGTGACCATTCGAAATTTTATTCTTTCTTCTAAGTCAATAGAGAAGCTCGCGGAATCCCTACGAATGTTTTTAAAAAGGAAAGTTTTTTACAACTGTAAATATACGTTTTAATCCAAAAACACCGAATTGATTTTTTTCTTTCTCCTTGAAGGGCCATCGGTTGTTGCAAATACTATGAAACGAAAATCGTTTTTCCGTTTGTATTCATTCGTTTATTTTGAAGAAGGGCGAAGCAAAATCGAGGCGGATAGATAAGTAATAAAATAATAACAAACATGTCACGTTTGTATTTATCTTTCTCTGGTCAAAATGTTTAATGTATAATCAATTCTCCCCATAGTGTCCCTCTACTTATATGTACAACGACATATATTCGACTGTACAAAACAAAAAGCACCTTCTCGATGAGCTATGTTAAATGGAGTGGGAAGAAAACGGCGACGAGCAGAATATGTGAACGAAAGCTCATGAAGATATTTTCCATTAGATGAAAATTTATGTATCAGCACCGGATAGTTAATGAGATTTTTTATATCCTTCGTTATATCGTCCGTTCTCCGGTCTCGTGGCATTATCAATACAATTTATATTTTATTCGACCATTTTTTTTTTCTTTTTTCGTTCACAACGATTCAAAGCCCTGCCAGCTTACCTGCACAGAAAAAGAGAGAAATAAAATATAGATTTTTATTTTCAATATAAAAATTTCTTGCCAAGGTGTAAGAGTGGGGAAATTGAGGGTGGAAAAGAACGCCTGTCGTAATATCTACGTGTATATTTTTATATTTTTTTTATGCTTCGTACACTCTCAAATATACATTTTTTTTGTATCCTCCAACTCGCCCTGACTTTGTAATGTCCAGAGGAAAAAATATTATACGCATGCGGTCGGACACAACGGCAAAAATATTATGAAGCTGAAGGAATATTATTGGTTCTTGTGGATAAGACTGAAAGCATTGCACAACCCTCAATTTTATTATGAAGAAAAATTTACGATATTACATTATATTTCTGCTTGTCCGCTCCGACATTTCTTTCGTTCGGGCTTTTCTCTCCTGTTTTCCTTTTCTCGGTGGTGGGAGGTATAAAAAAGCAATGAATGAAAGACAAGAAGAAAATTGCTTCTCAGACTTATAAGTATTTAGAAACAAAAGAAATGTGAAAAGTAAAAATTATATACCATAACTTGTCTTAGCCACCCCACAAAAACCACCTTTCTACTCCATCCTTCTCATTGAGCGTAAGAAATTATAACAATAAAGGGGAAGAAAAGTTATTTCTTTGCATTTTTTCAAGAATGGATGGTAGCGGTTATGTTCAATTATTCGAGATATAACGAGTTATATTCCATAGATAATGTTATGCCGAGCTCATATCCACCAACATTTTGAGCCTTCCTAACACTAAAATCTTATACCACGCAGATAGGATATCGCTTTTAATATTTTATTAAAATTTATATTTGTCGTATTTGTGAGGCATGTGGGTGGATTTCTCGTTGTTACATTCGACTGTGTTGGGAAATGTTCATTTCTCGTCGTAGCAGCACAAGAAGATACACATAAAATGGCAGAAACGTTTTTATGAAGAATTATTACCTTTTTATTGCCTTTGCAATGGTGGAGAATTTATCAAGTGACGTTTATGTTTCCCCTCTTCGTGTACCACATGAAACATTAGATGTCGAGTGACAGGACAATCTTTTCAAATTATACAATCGTTTCTATTTAATAATAATAACAATCCAAAGTATTTCTTTTTCATTTATCAGCGAGAAACGTAAAATGCTGAAGAAAATTTATTACGCTTCAATTATTAAACGTAATAAAGCATGTAATTCATTGGCATTATCCTAGGCGTCGATAAAATATAAAAAAAGGAGAATTAAATGAGGATTAAAATCATTGTAACTGGTATTAATTTAAACATTTTTCTTCTGCCACGTGTCATTATCACTTCAACTTATGCCACGATCATCAGCTCATTGTTGTCATTCTAGAATTACATTTTTGTCGAATTTTATGATCTAAAAGATTAAGTTTAGTTTCATATTTCTTTCTAGTTTTGACGATTTGGTCGTAGATATGCATACATGTAGATGCTATTTTTGCGATGAGTATCAAATCAATACAACAGACAAGGCGTGTTATTCTAGTCTTTTACACCAGCTTATGTGATTCATTTTCCGGTTTTCTTTCGACCTTCGTTCAAAATTATCAAAGCGCAATCAGGAGAACGGCGTTTATTACTTATGTAAAATATTTTGACATGGATAGCATGGAAGGAAGCTCAACCCCGTTGTAATTTTTCATCTAATTCCCAATTTGAAAGGAAATCGTTTGACTAATGATGATAATGCGACAATAAAGGGGGAAAAGGGAATTTTTTCGTGTTGTTTGTGCGAGTGTCTTTGTAATCCCAAAGCACAACGGAATAAAATATAAAACACCCCAACGAACCTTTCTTATCGATTACGAGTTATTATGATAAAGACATTTTTTGCTGTGAAACTTAAATAATTTATATTTATTTTCATTATTCTGTAGAAAGAGATTAAATTGTAAATTTTGGAACGAAACAAGCATTAAGTCAAACGGCAACAAAGAATGGGAGTAAATGAATTATTATCTCAGACTTGATGATGTATATCTTGATAAAACATGTTTTGACACTTTGAAATTAAGTAAATGAAACGCTTCAGGCTTTCTCAAAATTCTCTTTTATTAGATATTGAAATTTTTCTTTTCATATTTTTATTCGTTTTCGCGTAGTTTTGATGTCAGTTCTTGTCAGAGGCAAATTAAATCATTATGAAATCAAGATCAGCAAAATTCTTGTAGAGTAAAAGTTCCAACATTTGGTGAACATTTTTTTCTTCCAATCAACATTTTTTGAATTTTGTTTTTCGACTTTTTGTTAATATTTAGCATCAGTATGATCAACATTTACTCTTGTCATTTGCCAACCAGATAAACTTTATCATATCCATTCAACTCTTTCACATTCCAGTACCACGAATCAATGATCTTTTACTCTAAATTTATATTAATTGCTGACGTTTGATACATTTAACGTATCATCATTATTTCTTATAAATATCTCCTTTTATCTTGTACACATCTGTCAAATAAGCAAAATTCATATTTTGAATATCTGTTGTGATTTGAGTGAAGTTTTTATTGCAGTCATCAATTTTAATTGCACCTGTTTTACGTTTGATATAAATTCATGCTAAAAATGCACAAAATTTAGACAATTTTCTATAGAAATATCATTGAACTAATCTTTAATAATATTAAGCCGCATCTTTATTCGATCGAGTCAATTCTGGCTTCATGACTGTCAGTTATTTACGAAAATCTGTTCTTCATCTTTTTATTTGATTTTCTTACGCAAAATCATTTTTCACTTTGATTCGACTTGCTCAAAAGACTTTCATACCCCTAATAAAATAATTTCCATACCAAAAATTAATTATTTCACAGAAGCTTTTAAATTAATAATCTCCATCATGATTGTAAATGAGATAATGTTTCGCATGACGAGATTTTTCAATTTTCACAAAAGGCCCGCTGCTCTAGGAACAAATTTCGATATGCTTGAAAACGTGTATTTATTATTTTCATTAAAAGGCATATTTTCGACATTAAACCCACATTAAACTCTGGATTGATAAATTGAAACTTTTCCAGTTCTTTCTTCGCACCCCAATCTTGTGCTGAATGTAAATATATCGAGAGCGAGGAAAATTCAATATGAATAAATTTTCAATTTTCATTCATCTTACAACTCACACTCACTTCGTTCGCTTCAACGTATCAAAAGCATTATTTTCTAAATCGATTACATTTTAATCAAATTCTAAATCAACATCATTATTATTATAATGAAATATTGTCAGAAGCTTTGTCTTTTCACTTTTTATGATAAGAAATTTTTCACAAGCTTTCATTTTCCTTCGCATGTTTTCATTGGATTTCATCACAACGAGATAAAGCTCGTAAAGATATCAACTGAATTATTAATCCACTCTAAATAGTAATTATGAAATTCAAAGGATAGAATTCTATTCATTTATTCTGTAAATGCATTAAGAATCTTAGGTTGATTGTTAACTACATTATGTTGTAACAATGAAGGGGTAAATTTTTGTGATAAATTTCATCACAACGCAACGTATGTTTCTGAGAAAAGTCACACATAATGTATTAAACTTCAATTGCAAAACGATCCTATTTGCGCAATCTGATAGGGTGTATTGCCATAACAGTAATTCCATCAAATTACTTTATTCATAAGCGGGGAAAGTGTTCGAATAATGAAATTAAAAGCATCAAAATATTACTTTTTTCCTGGGAATTAAAGTTGCCCTGTTTTCACCTCATGTTCTTATCAAAGGTGATAAAAAGGGTGACAATTTAATGAAGATTGAATCAGAGCTTATCTTTAAGATTCGTTGAATTATTTGAATTTCTTAAATGTTTCTGAAAAGTTTGTTGACACCTACGCAATAATTTTTAAGGATGTTGAAATTTTATTTTCTTCTGCCCCATTTTATTCATGAATTTTTATAAATATTTCCCTTGCTTCTTAAGAAACATTTCTTCAGCAGTAATTTAGGGAAAAATGAGTAACCACAAAATAAATATCTACTTTAATTATATATAATTTTCCAAATCACTCTCGTTTTCCTTGAATATCTTTTTCCCAATTGACGAGGATAATGTTCAATTTTCCTAAAATAGAAAATTACAAGTCTTTCAAGAGGGAGAGGTTTTCTTTTTCTTTTTGTATTCTGAGGAAAAGAAATTAAGAGAAAGACGAGTGTAGGGTGCTCAGAAAGAAAATTTCTTTTGGTTAGAATGATTTAAGAAACAATTTTTAACACGCGTTAGGTGATGTGTCTCAATTGAGAAACAGTTTCTTTCTGTTCTTTTCTTAAAGATTAACATTCAAATATTCTGATTTGTAAGGAAGAAGAAGTTTTTTCGTGTTGAATGTTAACGATCCTTATAGAAGTTTTGGCAACCGAACACCCCTGAAATTGTTTTTGAAAATCAATCAAAATTTCTTCGAAAATAGATGAAGGACGTAGACAAAAATATATTCATCTTAGGCATTCTAACATAGATAATTTATGAAAATTTATAGATTTACAAATGTTACAAAAACCGAAGATATTTTTCTTAAATGGGAAAGAGACATTGGGTTTTATTAATAAACGCTTTCATCTTTTCTTGTTATAATTTATGGCTTTTCTTTTAATACTTGGCGGTGTGGAATGGAGGCAGTCTGGGTATGTTTAAGTCATCAAGAGTGATTATAAAAGAAATGATCCCGCAATACTCCAGATGACACTCAAGCACGTTCCAGAAGTATTAATTCATGTTTCTCATCTAAAAAATAAATATGCATCAATTAATGTACTTCGAGGCGTTTGTGCGATGAATTTTCTTCTGACTTTTAAAGCTCATTTTCATGTTTAAATCTTTATTGACAAGAATAAGAAAACTAGATACGACAACTCCAAACTGTCTAGATAAAAAAAAAACTTTCGTGAAACTCGTATCGAAAAATTTATTCTTTCTTTAAATGCCGTTTCTTATTTCTACCAATAAAAAAGTGAAAAAAGTGAACGCAAGAGCGAAAGATGGGAAGAAATATTGCAAAAAACCTCATTAAATTATAACTCCAACAGCTTGCGATAAGCAGAGCGCAAGTTTTTATGTCTTTAAATTGAATTTGTTAAATTTGCCGAAACAGGATTTAGTGCTTCTGATATTTATATTTTGCCGTGTTCTCTGAAAAATGAAATAAAATTAAAGTCTCTGTTTAAAGTGTTAACCATTTGAGTATGAAAGTATATTGAATTGAGTGACATTTTTCATCCAACCTATGAAATAAATAACAACAACTGACTTATTTAGTTAACAGCAAAAAGAAAAGTTGAATGGTCTATTGAAATCAATTTCATTTCGCTGTTATTATATAATTAAATGAATTTTAAACACACACTTAATTACGAAATTAATATGATTTTTGAGCAAGATTTTTTAAATCCTAAGTAGTGTTAAAAATGTGTTTCAATCGTATCATCGTCACTGAAAATTAAGTTTACTATCGTTTCTCAACATTCAAAATGTGCACAAGTCAAGATAAAAGTGTTAAAGAAAGAAGCAAACGACTTTCCATGCAAAAACCGGACTTCGCATTCTCGCTTAAGACAAAAACGTGCAGAAATCAATAAATGTATCGTCATTCCAACTTGAAGAATATAATTTGAGAGAGGACCAAACAGAATGTGAGAATTACTACACAACTTACAAATAAATGAAAATTATTTTCACAAAATAAATGCAACAACCTTGGTATGCTGGGATTAAACACATAAGTCGGGAGATTTAAGATTTGCATTCAACATTGTCGAAAAATGCCTTCTGAGTTTGATGTTGGGCCCTGTTATAAAAAGATTCAATCAAATATTTATTAACGAAAATTATTTTATGGATTTATATAAAGAAAAACATGCTTGAAGCTGTCACGAAACCTTAAAAAATGTCGACAATGCGGGATCTGTAAAAATAATTTCCAATCATAAAACAGGTCGAAGAACTGATTACTAACTTGTAAGCTTCAGCAGAATATGACTTCACTACTGAGTACTGAAATCGTCTGATATTGTTGAAGTAAGCAGAAAGAAAACCTCCATTAATGTTTTTCAATTAATAAATTGCTCTTGAAAGAATTTCAAATTTTGGAGTAAAAAGACTTTTTTATTTGCTTGGTTGCAGATTTTTATTCAATTCTTTCTTCCTTCTTTCTTTCTTCCCTTGAAACAGAAAACCAACAACAGCTAAAATTTCTTTGCAACGAAGGATTATAATTTTTAAAGGTGTACATAAATTTGGAGACGACATCGAATAAATTCATGTGGAAAGAACTCATATGATTTTCATACTTGACATGTTTTTTCGTTCTTCTTATTTTCATCTCTCTTTAGTCTTTTTGGTAAAATATAAATGTTTTGTTTTTTCGTCTCCATTATCTCTTGTAAAAATATAACACCAAAAATGCGATTTAACTTATGAAAACTCAAGCTCCGGTGGTCGACAAGATTTCGATTCTTAGCCATCAAGTTCCGATCTCAAATTCTTTAATTATATAAAAGTGTTTTGACTGTTTTTGGTAATTTGATTTATGCCGCTATTCACTTCTATGTTTGTTAAATAATTAAGCAAATAAAATAAACGTATCTCAATGAAATTATATTTAAAACATCCCAAAAAAAAAACATAAAATTAAAGAAATAAAAATAATGTTAAAAACTGCTGTTCGGAAATCTTCTGAAAAAACAAAGAATTAATCTACCTACCTAGGGAAATGAAAGTATTTGATTGTATTATTTTTATTGTTCAAATTGAGATTCAGAGATTCAACCTCTGAAATGCCAACGATCATATGACAAAATCATTCGAGACGAAGTTTTTGTTTATGTTCCTAAATGATGATGAATTTGAAATCGTTTCATTTTATGATTTCGTCATTATTTTTTATTGTAAATTATGAATAAATTTAACTCAAAAGTAGAAAGGTTCCCATGGATTTGTATTAAAAGATCAAGAAGTAGATATAAGTAGAAACCCAAACTCGCTTTTGTTTTTATGAGGTTAATAAATTTTTCTTATTCCTACTACAAACTCATAATTTGAATAGATTTTTATCGGCTTTTATTTTGTAACTGCCAATGATGCTGTGAGATGTTTGTTTTTCGTATTCCTCTTAATAAATGATCGATGAAATCAAGGATGAAACATCGTTTTCTTTTGATGCTTGTCATCATAAAAACAGAAGCTCATCTCAAAGGTTAAATTTCAAATGTTTGAAGTTTTTTCAATAATCTTTACCGATTCTTCATTGAAAGTAGGAGATAATTAAATTTAATATTTGTACTTATATTCAGATAGTTTTAATGTCTAAGCATTAATCAAAAACAGAAAAATTAAAACACAAAGTCAAAAGTTACACCTACATAAGCTCTTGCCAAAGGTTAATGCAGCTATATTAATATTAAATAAAAGAAGTGCGCTTCTTAAACTATTAATAAAGAATCTTAATCAATTCACAACTTTTTTGACATTTATAAATTAAAAAGTATTTTAAACGTCTAAAGTTTTCTCGCTTTAGTCATACAAATTAAGACATTTGATCTTGGCATAGACTTCATTTCATTAGAAATCTTAAAAAATGAGCAATGAAAGTGGGAAATTTCTTAAAACCTTTGTATCTATTACATTATTTAATGCTATGTATGTTACAAACAGCCACAAATGAATAGCAATAAAAAATGATTTATGGTCCACATATATGAACTCGAAAATTATTTTCATCTCCGACACATTTTTTTTCAGTGAAAATTGTGAAATATTTGAAAAATAAACGTGGTGAACATATTACCGCTGTTGAGCTATGATTTTTAAACATAAGAACAATTCGGTTTTCAGGAGCTGTCGAGACAATGTTTTGTGGTTAATGATGAAAAATTTGTGAGCTCATGAAAATAAATGAATTACTCGCGATCTAAGATGATTTTTTATTTGTAGTTATAATGTTAACATAAATTCAAATCATATGGTATCGATTGCAGTTGTGAACATAACTTGTCTACCCATCAATCAAAAAAATCTCAATTTTGTAAACAAAATGTCTGAACTTTGTCTGAGCTATCATCGTAAATGATAATTTTATTCTTAACCAATCAAAGAAGTTAACATCCGGCACACGTTTCAATTGTTTAAACAAGATCGATGATTGAGAACTGACAGGTGAAAATTCACAATTATTTTCACCCTTCATAATTATGGAAATCAAATTAAATTATTAGATCAAATTAAATCATTAAATATTAAAAGTTATCGTGAAAAGTAACCGCGTGACTCTCTTTTCCTTTGGCTTTTGATTTGCATTCGTTTCCCTCAAATTCCAAGTATTCATTACGAGGGGAGTTTTCATTGGAAACTTGTTGAAACGTCATTTTCAAAGCGATCTACTCATTGAAATCATACGTAACATCGAAGTGGTAAAGGAAGTGGTAAACAATTGTGATCAGGTTTAATACATTTTGCATGATTTTAAATATTGATTATTGCAATTACTAATTTAGTTTCAAAAATAATCGAAATAAGAAAACAAAATCGTACAGGAAGAGTTTGTATTTGTTATTTCACGCTTCAATTCTTGTGGGAATATTCAAAACTAAGCTTTAGTGATATCAATATTTGGAAAAACTAGTGAATTAAATTACCCACAGTTAAATATGATTTAAATAAAATATCTACAATCAATTTGTTATTTGTTTAGAAAACGAAAAGAAATATTTAAAGGCCTAAATGAAACTGATATCTTGACTACCCAAAACAATAGAACTTAAAACTGTTTTGACAAAACTAAAGCCGTGTTATTTAATTTGCATAGTAATAAATCCGAAAATTCACTTTACAAGGCTATAACTACGACAAAAATTAATATTTTAAAAATTATATTCTTGTCCAAGAATTTTATTGTTTCCTGTGAACTTGTTGTCTTTAAAATGTTAAATTCATTGCTTTTAATAAATTCTACATGCATCAGAGCTTCGATCTAATGTCAAAACAGATGTTTAGCGAAACGGGTTAATAAATTAAAGCACTTTTGGAACTTCTGGCTATCAGTTTTTGAAATATTGCCAAGTTAATTTTTTTTTGATTCTCTATGAAACTTAACAAAAACTTCAAATTTTCATTTGATTTCGTCCAACTTTTAGTTTATTAACGGTAACTAATAAATTTCATGGATGATATAAAATCATTTCTCTTATGAATTGAATCGTCATTGTTTTGTTTTATTTGTGCTTATGACAATAACATGTAGAACACAAAAGAGCAATTTTGATTCATCGCGTCACAATATATGAACGTAAACATTAGAGAGATATTCACAGGTGTGTCATCTGTTCCGATTTTTTACATACATTTATATTTATTGTTTCGTAACTATCTAGCTCACCTGCTAAAATATGACAATGAATGTTAGTTTTAACGCAAATGAAACTAGAACAGAGGAAGTCATTTAACATGTAAAAAGATTTAACATAAAATTTAATACATGAATTTTATGGTTCTTCTACATACATTTATGTATTTACACACTGAAGATGTCTTGACATTAATAATTAAGCATTGTCAAAATGTGACCCTTTTTGTTTTTGTATTTAGTTACTCTCCGTTTCAATAGCATCGATATTGAAACTATTTGATGAATTGACCCTTGCTCTTAGTAGTCAGTCCAGTGAGAATTGTTTTATAAACAATTTATAGAAGAAACATAATTCATGTTTTACTCGAAATCCCAAATGCATTGTAAAACATTCGAAAATATATTTGGCCTTTGGTGAAATTTATATAGTTGTGATGTGAGTTTGATTGGAAGGAGAAATTTCGTCTCGGTGAATGGTCACTATCTTGAAATTGAATGTTAGACGAAAGTTCACGTCTGTTAAATGTTAGCATGGTGAGGGTTTGAATCATATACAAAATATATTATTTGATGAAACGTTACATCGTCTTTGGATAACAAAATTTTCAGTGTTTTTGTTTTAGGAAACCTATAAAAATATTCTTCACTGTAATGACTTCACTGTGTGACTTGTCAAAAATGTGTTTAAATTACTGTAAAATGGGAAGTGTTTTTTTAATGCTACAAGATACCGTGTGAAAATGAAATTAAAGCGGATACATCGTATCATACGTGTAATTGCACAGTTTTGAATATGAAACTCTATCAGTTTTGCGACATGCTTCAGCTATCATTGGCAAGAGGCATGGAGAATATTGTCACAACAAACGACCAATTATAAGTATAAAACAACATCAGAGGAAGACGAAGGAAGAAAAAAAAACTTTTGTGGCTTTTCAAAGACGAAACGAAATGAAAAAAGGCTTTAAAAAAGTATATTGAATAAACTGTTAAAGTCAATCAAAACACGAAAGCAGTGATTTTCATTAGAATTGAAAATTTTCCTTCTTTTATATTTTTGTGTCACAATTGAAGGGCGCAGACGCGATTCATTATCTGAATAAAGAAGATCGAAGGTGTTGAAATGGACTCTCAATCGACTCGACTTTGAGTTTTAGATAAAGAATATTTACAAGAGGATATTACAAGAATCGATTGAACAACTTTAAGTACAGCGTAAGTAAGTGAATAGCCATGAATACTTTTGGATAAAGAAACAGAAAAGCGAAATCGTTGACATTGTTCTGTCGTGAGACTTTTATCACCTTTTAGTCATCCACAAAAAAAGGAAGTAAGCAAACAAAAAACTAATAAATTTTTACGTTCGATTCTTATTTTATTCGCTTTTCTGTGATGCTGTTTTCTTTCGCGTCATTGAAGAATTTATTTTTTGGAATTTTTTAAAATTTATTATTGTTCTTTTTATTTGTGAAAAATAATAACTTTGAAGGTTTATTGTCAAACAGTGAGGTAACAACGTCTTTGTTGCTAATATAATTTTGTATTTGGTCAAACTTGATATCTTATGGCACATGAAACTTACTTATTAGACACATAATTGACACATGTTTGACTATTTATTTATTATTCACAACAAATCATCAAACATATTCATCGAGAATGAAAAAGTTCGTATGTTAAGGAAAACAAGAGAAATCAATAAGAAAAGCCGCTTATTTAAGTTTGATTGTTTTGTATTTTGGTATTAAACCCTTTTGCTTTAAAGCAGATTTTCCAAAAACCAAAATATCTTACAAAAAATACAAATAAAATAAAAGGAAACAGCATCAAAGAGGAAAAGGGAAAAAATATTTGAACGGTTATTACAACAATTCATTCTCAATAATATTTTTCTGTTAAATTCAATTTTTTTCGCTTGTTGTCGCGAAAGAATGAGATCTTATCATCTGAATGATTTATGCAATGATTTCTAAAGGCATTTGTGACATTTGTGTTGACGTAGTGAAATTGTAAGAAAACGGAGACGACAAAACAGATTTTAAGAATTTTTTTTCATCAATTTGCTAATTATGAAAATATTTTTGTTGTTCAAGATTCGGATTTGGAGAAAGTCCCCTTTAAATTAAGCTTCTAAAAGCTAAAAACAAAACGTCTTCAAATATTAAAGGCAAATATCAACCCACAACAATTTCAAGTATTTTCTTGTATTTTAAATGTTTTCTTCTCTTATTTTTTGTCTCCCGCTCACAATATCTCAAATGCCTTCTGGAAAATATCTTCATATTTAGTCTGCGAAGTAGGATTAAGCAACAACAAAGCTATTCTTGTTTTTTTTTCATGCACTATTGTCGGTTCCAATTGCTTTGCTTCCTATCTCTCGTCTAAAACATTATTAAGTATCAACATGGAACAATAATAGTATCAACTTTATTGCAGTCAGCAAGCCTAATCATTGTAATGAAACTAATGTAAACGAAAATCAAATTATTTAAATAAAAGTAGCAAATACTTCTTATCTTTAGAAAATTACTAACGCAATGCTTGAAAATGGAGAGCATTGTGACTTGTCATACATATGATTGATATCTAATCCATCTCTGATTCGACATTAAAATGAAACAGTTTTACTCTTCAATATTTATCTATTTCTCTGATACAAAACAAATTATGTATAGAATTCATACCATAAAGACCCCATCTTAGCAAAGAAGCGTTTACTAGAGAAAATAATTTAGATGATAAGTCAGGGGTAGATAAAGAAGAACAAAAAAAAATCTACATTTTTAATGCATAAATATTTATCCAGAATATTTAATGCGTGTATGACGTGATTCTGTCTGTGGTTGTGGATTTATGTTTTTTTTCTACTTTTGCAGGGAGCATTTAGTTGGAAAAAAGTGTATGAAAGAGTGTAGTGTTAGTGAATTTCCCCTCAAAGTATGATTGAGAATGTATTGCTCATGCGCGTTTTACATATTGTCAAAGTGTGTGTAAAAATGGGTGTTGCTGAAGTTATGTAGATATCTACACGAAATGATTCTCTTAAGCTTGAGATTTTGTTTCTGTTCCATCTATCATTATATAAATTTATTCTTTCTTCATAAAATATCGAGAGAGATTTTTTTAAACCTTCATCCTTTTATTCTTTGTGCAAGTGGTTGTTGTTGGTTGTATACATTCTTATAATTTATTAATTTGCATTTGCAAAACGTGAATATCTAATTATTCAAGTGCTGACGTAGAGATTAAGGAAAAAATAACAAAAATACCATTTAATAAGAATTGAGTGGATCATTTTTTGTTTTTCTATGAAATAATATAAATCTTAACTTTAATTAGTGCGTTTTGTTGGAAAACCAATTTATATTGTAATTTATGAACGTAATCTGTTTAAAAAATTTAAGCAAGTCAAAACATGAAAATATTTATTAACAGAATGACAAAATGGAACTCTTCCATATCTTAAATTCATTTTATATAAAATAAAAATTTTAAAAAAAGAATAATTAAAACTTTATCAAATAAAAATATTTTCACCTCGACAGGAAATCGCTTGGAAAATTAATTTCTTTCGGATGTCTCTTTGACTTTTTAAAGCGATTAAAAATCATCTTCATTTTCCACTTGATCGCAAGTGAAATTGAGCATATCGTTTATTTTCCTTTTTCTTTTCTGCCTGATGAAAACTAAAAGTTTCTCACATTCGTGTCGGTTGTACAATTTAAACGTTTTATGATCCTGACAATAATAAACATTTAAACGTAAAATTATAATATATTTAAAAATAAACTCTTTACGTCAATGCTAATTAAATAATGTTGACTAATTAAAGACTCTCATTAAATTATTTTTCGTCATGTTCATATTTAATTTACAAGTTTTTATAAAGGCCCCTATGATCCACATTGAATTGTGCGGGCTTCAGAGAGCAATGAGAGAAGTGCAGCTACACATTTTCTATTTTTTTATTTTTGTTCGGATTAAAACGAACATTTATGTGTTCAGTAAACATTAAATGATAAGTTTGGTTTCTCCCTGTAAGTATTTTTAATATCTGGATTTCAATAATCCATATATGGATAAAATTAAAATTAAAAAAATGCCTCATTATTCATCTGAAAATGGATTTAATTTTCAATATCAACAGCACTGTAAAAATAAAGTAAAAGATTGCCACAAAACATCAATTTTAATTTTGTGTCAACACTTCGATAAATCAATAGCAAACTATATCAATGAATTGATTACTTGTATATCGCCAAAGCTTTTAAAATAAACTCTCTTACTTTTCACGGTATTTCGATTAACATGCTCTCACTGATGACACAAAAAACGAGCCGTCATCGGTTGTTGATGGGCACATGTCTCGTAAATGTGTAGTAATAGTTACAAATAAGTAGTGGTTGAATAAATAATTTTTTATACATAAAAACCTGAAGTTTAATTCAACTTTATTTATCTGTAAGCTCAACTACCTAGAATTTAATTTAAAGCTTTTATTTTAATCTTATTACTTCAGTTGACTTATAACTTTATTGAGTTGACAAGGAAGGAATGAAATATCATAAAATTGAGTCACTTTCAAAAATAAAAATAACTTTCCGTTACCTTCACCACCTGCTGTACTTTGCTACTGTTTGATGATCTTTAAATGACGATCGGAAATTGAATTTCTATTAATGAAGATCGAAAAGAAAAAAATGTATTTACAGCCAAAAGTCTCCTGCCGTTCCTGAACTTGATAGTTTTTTAAACGAAGTTCTGGATAATTTCCAAAATCAATTTGAATATTTAAACCACAAAACAAAATCAGAGAAAGTGAGCACAGGTAAGCAGACAAGAGCAATGTGGTTTTGTCCGTGTTTGGATATGTCTCGCCTTATTTTCGTCTAGAGTGTTGCGTCTTATCTCTCAACCTGTTCCTCATCATCGCTTTTATTTTCAAGGTCTTTTTGCGTCATCAAACCATCTTTTCTTTCCTTTCCTATTAAACAGGTTTTTTGGCATCTTTAATTTCAAATATTTAACGTGATACTTTTCTTGTAATTCTTACAATTATTACAACTTGTTCTTAAATTTTATAAGCACAAATAGGCGTTCCAATTTTATTTCATAAATAACTTAGTTATCTAATATATTTTGTTGCCCGCAGAACAATTTAATTATCAATTCTGTTTGAAACTTAATTTACTAAACACGAAATATCGAGCATACAACAAAAATAAGTTAAATGAAGTTTATGTGAAGATTATTTAACAAATAACAGTCCAAAAGCTTTGATTCAAATGATTCGTTCTATTGAAAAAAGTTCTCACCTTTCTTCCAACCGTCTATTTATTTCCAGCTTTGTCCATTACAAAGCACAGCACCTCGGCATGAAAAAAAAAGATTAAAATGAAGAAAACTTTTTATTCAAATTCCCGCCACGCAAAAAAAAATAATAAAAAGTTTGAAATTTAAAATCAAAGCCCTGGGGGAAAAGAAAGAAAAGTTGAAAATTTATCTGTAAAAAATGTAAATTTGATGTAAAAATGGGATTATTTATTCGTTCGTCCAAAATAAATACTCGTATACAATAGCAAAGAGAGGAAGAAATTCATGTTTTTCATGCTTCTGCTGGCCAAATGGCATCGTATTTCATTCAAAATAAAAGGAATTAAACAAAAAATTAATGTTGCAACTTGTACCAACTCAATTGTTTCAATTAATTTAATTTGTTTCTACTTCTTGCCTTGATTCTTACAATTGCAGATAACTCGCCTTCTCTTTCTAACTTTTTTAATTCATATTTTATATTTATATATAATTAAGATTGCAATTTATGCAAAGAAAGTCAACAACTTTTAAAGTTTATCGAGACGAATGAAAATCTTGATTTTTCAAGCGTAACTTTGAGCTTTAGAGATTTGTAAATAATTTAAAACATTTTAAAATGAACAGCAATGCTTTTTCTCAAAGATAAACAATAAAAAAGTAAAGCTTGGTCAATACTTTAAAGTTATCTTAAGTAATATTAGCAGCAAGAAACGTTACAATGCTAATTACCGATCATTTCAATCTCATGTTCAAATTGTAAATCTGCACAATGAAATATCTAATTTGTTATTTTAAATTTAAGACTGTTGTGATATTTATTATATTAAAGAGAAACCATAACTATAGCGATTAAACATTTTTCAAGTGAAACAAATGGCTTCAAAGATTGAAGAAAAAAAAAGTTTAATCAATTGCCAAAATGGTGGAAATGTAGTCAAATGAATGAATTAATCTTTTGTTTCACAATGGAAACCAGACCAAAACTATGAGAGTGAGAAGGAGGCGTAAATATGATGTGAACTGGAGCTGAGCGTGAAATAATTAATGAATTCCATTATTTTAATTCAACTCAAATAATATTACTTTTATCTTTCTCACCATGTGATATTTGACGTGTTAGATGAGCAGAGGGGATGCAAAGGGAGAACATTTTTCACGCTTCAAACTTTCACCTAACATTAAACGCTAAATTAAGATTGTTGTGTGCTTAAACAAATATACAATAATAATAAAAATTTCACGCAATGTCGCCTTCAAGCCGAAACATTCAGTATTAACCTTCATGTGATCTCATAAAATTTGAATATTATAACTTATTTTCTACCCATTTCAGAATGATAAATTACACGCCTTAAAATTCGGTGTTAGATATAATTTTCTGCTGATTATTAATAATAAAAGGTAATTTTTTGTAGGCTTAATCGCAATTATTTCTCATTCCAAGGGTGGCGCAGATACAATCAGATCTTTCTCCATTAATTTATTTTGAAATTTTTAGATACTTGCGTAGATAGTTTTGTGTAAACTTACATAAATATCCGACTTTCAAAACACCATGAAAAATACGTACTTGGGTTTCTTTCCGATTATCAAGATTGAAAGTAGAAAATTCTTTCCTAAGCAGATATACAAACAGGTGCTGAGTGTTACCGGGATAAAAATAAAAGAAATAATAAAATATTTAAATGAAATTTAACGCATAAATTAAACAATTTTCTATGATTTATCTTTTCTAAACAAATTGTACTTATTCAAATAGGTAAATATTATGGCGCTGACACTGATGGTTGATGTCAGTTGAGATAATGACTTGAATTAAAAATGCAAACAATAATTATTATTTTATTAGAGATCTCGACGAAAACATTCGAACTTTAGGGTGAATTAAGAAAGAAATATTTCACTCAGTAAGAATATAATCATATTTACTTAGATAATATTAAATGTATAAAAAAACTGAAATTAATTACAAGACATTATGATAAGACGCCAATCATCCTTGTTGATGCCTTCCCTAAAGAAATGAAGTCGATTAATTTGTTTTGGTAAAAAAAATAGTAAAAGGGCTTGACGTTCCATTAACTATTACGGATTTCATTAGATGCAGAGGATACATGGAAAGCATTTTTCATTCTAATCTCTTGAGTTAAACTCAGAGTTGAGCTCCAATTAATATTCGTTGTAATCATCAAAACAAATATTGGAATGGCATTGTCAAAATTGACCATCACAATACGAAAGTCATTTCTAATTTCATATTTAATTACTAATTTCCACGTGTGTGCTTATCAATTAGTAAACTTGAAGAATTCGTGGAGAATTCCTGGTCAAGAAATAAAGAAAGGTCAAGGAAGATAAATAAAAAAAGATATTTGAAATGAAACTTTGAATGACAAAAAAGTAAAACAGACGGCTAATAATTTATGTGTTTAAAAGTCGACAAATAATGATTTATTGATGTCATCGAATCGATTTCAAAGTAAAGAAGCAAAATGATGACGAGACTTGACGTCAGTTGGAAGAGGGCACAGTTGGACATTCAAATCCATCTTATTTTTAATTTCATATCGTTATTAACTTTATGACAAAATATGAGTACAAAAGCAGGTTTGTTGATTGGATTGATTAATATTGTGACAAATAAGTTTCGAATCTTGAAGCATCAAAACATAAAATAAGAAAAAACCGAAGATATTTAACTGCATTTAATAATTCTAAAAAGGTATTTAAGAAATAATTTACAGACATCATAATCAAAACGAAGGATTGCAACCCATCTCAGTAATTAATAATTGGCTTCCGACAAAGCCCTTTTAAAGATTCTTTCCTCTTTTTGTTGTATCATAAAAAGTATTATGAGCAATCAAAATATTTTTCTGATGATTCCTTTTTTTATATTTCGAAATAAATTCATTTAAATAGCAGCAAAAAGTGATCCACCGCAGTTGATTTTCCTTCAAACTTTAACAACCCGCTGATAAATTTCGTTATGAGACCAAACAATGCTATCAAGAAAATGACGAATTTCTGAAGAATGACATTCAATATGAAATTCATTTTGCTTTGACGTTCAAGTGGCGCCCACAAGACAAACATATTTTACAATTCCTCACCGTTTAAGTATACTTAACGTTAGTAAAAACCATGATCTGTATTAATTTATTTATGATTCATTGGAAATATCAAATAAATAAATATATCTGAGTTTTTACATCAACAAACTCCAGAAGGATATTAAAATTCCAAGAGTTTCTTTTTTATTATCAAACTCACCATCTGATGGAATGTTTCGTTCCATCTTCAATACTTTGTTCGTCTGTTGCAGAAATATGTCATATCAGCAATAAAAAACATGACGTCAACAAAGTATTTCTTGAAGATATTATTAATTAGGTAGATATATCTAAGATGGACAAATAAATATTTTTTATGTTTGAAGTCAAACGTCTTTTATAATATTAATTTTCAATTGTCGTTTCTTGACATCACCATTTATATTTCATACTGAAGCAATGTATGGAAACAAATCTGAACCTATTGGATGGAACTACTGAGAATCATCATCTCATGATATCAAATCATTCTTCATCTTCCCCCTTGTTTCTCTTTTCTTCAATTGATATGATAAGCTAATTTGTACGCTTGAAAATTGGCTGTTGGGGGAGCGTAAGCAAAAAATAAAAAATAAAATAGATCAATCACATAACGCTAAGCGACATGATATTCAAGCTTCCCTGTGGATATTGCAACAGCGAAAATCGCCCTCAATTTTGCATAAAATTAAGGATTACTGGGGAAATTGCGTGATTTTATTTTTATTCTTTTCATCAATAAAAGATTTTAATAAAAAATAAATCTGAACAAATATCTCGGAAACTGAGCGTGAGATTACTGAGTTATCTACGGGTAATAGAATTTGCATAAAATACGCATTTCATAATTTAATTAAAGTGATGTTTTGAATCTATTTAATGGCAATTAATTTTTTCTTTTCATTTCCGACGATAAAAGTAATTTTAAATGATATTGGTTTTGCTCACATCTTATGGGAATGATTTTCAAATTCCAGTAGCTGCTCCCACCGTGCGATGAGAAATAAAACATGAAGGAAGGAGAAGAAATGAAACAAGAAAAACACAAAATGTTCTTTTCGTCGATTGTCAATCGCGGTCGCGAAGGGATCATCTTTTGGCCTCTCGCCGCCGTGAGGTCAAGAGCAAACTGAAGAAAAAAGCGCCACTTTAAGACATGTACGGCTATGAATGTTTATTCGTTTTCTCTCTTTCTTTTGAATTGTATATTTTCATTTCGGTAGCAGGTTTTTTTTATTAAAGTATGGAAACAGCAGAACGATTTCGATAAGCCAGTAACTCACGATAATTTCTCATAGGATGTTCATAAAAACAATTGGAATTGGTCATGAAGATGGAAAATTTTATGTTTCTCCAACTACAAACAATCTAATTAAATCAGTTCGTTTATAAATAATATAAATCGTTCTTATTGCGATTAAAATCCTCGAAGGGTATGAAAAGACGATATAAAAGTTTCCTCTTAAGTGATTTGCATAAATTTCATATTAGCTGCGACACAGAATCAATAATGATCCCAAATGACCACAGTTGGGTTGTCTCCATGAGACTGAAAGAAAACTAAGAAGATTTCATTTTTAATTTGAATTTCCCTCCAGCGGCGATCTGTAAGTCATTATTTTTTTAATCAAAATGTCAATGTTAATTGACGAATTGGAAGCACAACTTGCTTCTATGCTTCTTTTTATTTTGATTAATTGCTTTTCATCTGTTGTCAACTGTTTGACGATCTTTAAGATTTTTACGATCCAAAATGAAACTTTATGTTAACTCTTTTCAATAAGATCTCATAAATATTTGATATCTACACCTTTTATATATATTTTTGTGCAATAATCATTTCGTAATCAAGATGCGACAAAAGGAAAGAAGTAACGAAATACTCTAACAAACTGTTTTCATTGTTATTGTTCTGTGTCATAAAGTCGCCATGTGATAATCAAAAGGAGTAATAAGTATTAAACATCCACGAATAATCACGATTTTCATCTTTTTTCTCTTGTCTCTGTTTTTCTCTGCCAGTAAATTCTATTTTTTCCTTATGAATACAAACATAGCCACTTATCTCTAGACATTACAACTGTATGAACTTACAATTCCTCAGTCATGCAAAAAAGTTTTAAAAGCGATTGAGAAATATTTAGCATAAATGAATTTGAGGATGAATGACACTGTTGGATAATGATGGAAAGTCTTAAATACCCTACGACAAAAATCAACTTCTTTAGCCCTTAATGAGCATTATTTCACCAAATTTCGCAAAAAAAATAAACACGAAAATAACATTTAACTAAAAATATTCGTGAATATTAAGTTTCTCTAAAAACAGAACGAAAACAAATAAAATAACAAAAAAATATATCTAACCGAAAATCGTCAGAAAAGCTCCACGATTGGAACAATAAGTAGGTATTAAGATATTTCCAAGGATATTTTCGTTGTAATTTTTGTTTTGTTTTTGTCATCGATATGTTCTCAAGCAATACTTAGAGACTGAAAATGAGAACCAATAAATATTTAACATCGTCTGCGATTCGATTCTTTTCTTTACGTTTCCACAATTATATCTTAAGAAGAATTAAAAAGAATGGAAGTCATAGCAATGCATAAGCATAACACACATGTTGGTACACTAAGTCGATGATTTTATTTAAAAAATTAATTTACTTAAGAACGATGTTCAAATCAAACATTTTATTGAAAAAAAATTTTGGATTTCATGTATTGTGTGACTGAAATGCAGGAAACTTACGTTGGGGATGGGCTGACCCTCTGTTGAATAAATTTTATTTTTTCTTAACAACATTTTGAGAAAGCAAAGCAAAAGAGAAGAAAAAAACTTCAAAAAACGCAGAAAGCGACAAATAAATAACAAACAAATTAAAGAAACTTGTTGTAATTGTTTCAGGTATCAAAACAGATCGATTATTTCAATGATATCCAAATGTATTTCAAATTTTCATTATTTTTCTTGTTGACGTTATATGAAGAAATAAAGTGACAAGAAATAAAACCACACGTAATCGGTTCATTGGAAAAAGCGTGAAAAATCAATTTAAGTTTTTGTCACTTTAACATTTCTATATTTAAACTTACGGTTCATATCACTAACGTAACACTTTCATGTTAGTTATTACTTTAACTTATGAGATATTCGTGTTTTCACACTCTCTTATGATCTCGTTCATATTAAACGTCAGTCTATTAATCATATCGTAATTAACACATTTCATTCGGAAAAAATTTCCCGCACGAATAATTTGTGGTCTATTAAAAACGAATTAAGAAAAGCGTTGGCACGGGAAGAAATGTTCAAAGCAAAAAAGCATAAATCCACTCAGCCGTGAAAATGGGTAAACTTTTCCATTTCTCAGTCTAGAAAACCAAACACGCTCTAGTTAATTACGACCGATAAATCAATAAATAAACTTTTTTTTATTTAATAAATAACCATTTTACAATTTTACACTTTTCCTTTTTTTTGTGTGTTTCCAGACTTTAAGTTTTGGGGTCGAAGATTTTTCGCATTCTTCTCTTTAGAAATTTTTGAAAACTTTTACATCTGATTTTGGAGTGGTTGTTCGTAATAATAACGGAAAGGATCAGCAGCTTGTCCTGCAGCTACAATTTTCTTTAGATAAGCATTTCGTCTGTTGTGGTCACTTCCAGCATGGACTTGGAAGCTTGTCTCTTCATGATGATCACTCGAGAAAATCTTCTTCAGTGCGATGATACCGGCAATTGTGAGCGCGACTTTGCTGATAACTAAAGCTTTTCCTGCTATGAATGCTAAAGCTTTCAAACCAAGAGGTCCAGCTATTCCCATTGCTGTTAATACAGCAGCAATGACATAACGATAATGTTTCTTTTCCTTGCCACGAGCTTCTGAAAAATCTACTTTAATCGTATGAGTATTCAAAAATTTCTCGATGTTTCTGATTAGAGTTTGATCAATTTTGCTGAGGCTGCTTAAGCCTCGGGCATCGGCAAGAAATATTTGAGCTTCATCGGATTTTGAACTTTTGGTTTTCACCAAACTTATGCCATCAAGTAGAGAAATTATATCCTTAATGGGGGAATTTTTGATTAGTATTTTAAATAAAAAGAAATAGTAATAATTGTCTCACTTGATCTACAGCTCGTTCTATCGCAGTCGATGCTTTTGTCTTTAGACATCCACCAAAATCTTCTTTATCTTGACAGTCATCATAAACTTTCTGCAGCACATTGAACTCCTTTCCAACCTGATCAACATCACTAGGAGTTTTAGCAAGAGATGCAGACAAGACACTACTGGAAATACTTAGAGTGACTAAAACAATCACGAAAACTTTTGAGTTCATGTTTAGTGTATGCTGCTTTCTCAATAGTTTTTAATAATCTCACTAAACTAAGCACTTTTTTATGGCTGTTTTATGAACTGCACTTTACAATATTTATGGAAGAACTGATAACTTTTTTTAATAATCGGTGGCTTATAAATGCATCTGAATGCTCTGCTTAATTTCATTTTGCATCTTTTCTTCTAGTTATGTGCAATTTTTTTCTCTCTTTCTTCTTAGTTATTTGAAATATTTTCTCATGTTCATCACCCATCATATTTCTTTAGTAGGTAATATTGAGTCGTCTCACACCCTAAGCTTACAAAATTTCACTCCAAATAAACACTAAACAGTGACTGATAACTACGTAATAATCGGAGTAATAAATAATGTCTGCGAAACATTGTAAGATTGGAAACTTATTCTACTTATTAATGCATATAAAGTGAAAAGAAAAACCGATTGAAGATAAGATTTTTATGCTTAACATGAATACAGAATTATTTATGCTTGAGAGAACGCAAATAGGAAATTTTATGCTTTTTGTTTTTCACGTCTTCTTAAACTGTTAATAAATCGTTTCATATGATTTAAAAAGAGAAAGCCAAAAGAAAATTCTGATTTTCTTCTGAAAAATTGTTGAAATTGATTGAATGAAAAGAAAATTTTTCATTCATGAGATTGATTTTCTGCTGTCAAAAAAGAAAAACTATCATTGTGAAATGGAATCAACTGAGTTAAAATTAATAAAAAAACGAATGAAATACAAGAATTTTAGATACTTTATTTTATTTATGTTTTTATGAAATCGTATTGGAAAACATTTTTCTATAAACATCGAAAACTCATATTTTATGTTCATGAACGCTGAATATTTATGATGTATTGAATATTATATTTATTTATAATGAATATTAGAAAGAAAATAATAAAACTTACTAATAAGCGATTGAAAATCTTCATATTTTCATGAAAAGTTGTGAATTTTAAATTATGAACTTAAAGAAAATCTTCACATTCGCTTAAATTTCAAGAAACCTCAGTAGATGCACCATATTCAATTTTAACACCATCCGCTCTAAAATCTTCAACATCCATTTCTATTTCTTCTTGCTGCGCATTAAGACGATTGAGTGTCATCTGAGATGTTGTAGGAGTTGAGTTTGAAACCTGAACCAGAGTATCAGGAAGCTGGTGCTCAATTTTAATTGATTGAGGTTGGAAAATGACTTGCTCTTGTATAATGACCGGTGAAGATTGTTGCTGGACTTGTGTACCAGACACTACTTTAGAAGCATCTGCTTTATTTGAAAGTCCAGCCTGCTGATAAGATTTGTTTTTAATCGTTTGTCGTATTTGGGATGTTTGCTTAGCTTTGATGTGTGAACTTAATTGATTCAAATCTTCATTAAATGTAGTCACCGAATTTTTCAACATATCCACTTCTTCCTGACTCCATTTCGAATTACTAAAAATATTGTTTGTTTATTATGTATAGAGATGTTAATATAAGAACAAAAGTTGTTTAACAAATAAATACCTTTCTTTATCGGTTTGAACTTGTAAAATCAGGTCGCCTAAAGTATTGAAAGCTTTCCCGGCAGATGTAAAGATTTCGCTCACCTATAATCATGAAAGAAAACGTCTCTTTTTAGTTAGATATGATTTAAAAAACAAAATTTTCTTACTTTTACATTCATTGTTTACAGCTTGCAAGTCCAATGTGAAGACGCCTGAATTAAGATCAAAAATTTAATACGATCGTAAATTGACAAAATATCATTAAATAAGCTTATAATCGTGTAGATTCCTTTTCTAAATAGGATTTTAAAGTTGATTGTTTTATTTTCTAGCAAAATACAACATGAAATAAAGCTTCATTTTAATTAAATCTAAATTTGGCGGCAACACCAAGTGCCTACCTTTTGACAGTCAGACATGAAATTTTAACAAATCGTTTTCTTAGTAACTGTTAATGTAATAATTTTGATCTGTTTCTGAACATTAAGTTTGCCGAAAATAAATTTCACTTTTCACAGTTCGGGACTGTTATTCAAAGAAAGCATTATCAAGTATAATCAATATATTCATCAAGGATCTGCTCGTACTTTTATAATTTAGAAAATGTTGATAAAAGTTAAGGTAATAAATTATTTCACACAATTTTGCAATTTTTTCTTCTTATTGCATTGCATCTTTCAGACATTGACTGGCAAAGAGATTGAAATTGATATCGAGCCAACAGATAAAGTAGATCGCATAAAAGAGCGTGTGGAGGAAAAGGAAGGCATTCCACCTCAACAACAGCGTCTTATTTTCTCTGGAAAGCAAATGTAAGTAAAAAAAAAAAATTGCCTTAAAACTCGGATCAAAGCAAAATAAATTTTCTTTATTATTATCGATAGATTGATGATTAATCATACATTTTTTTCATTGTTCTTATTTTAGGAATGACGATAAGACAGCCCAAGATTACAAAGTGCAAGGAGGTTCAGTTTTACATTTGGTTTTAGCTCTACGAGGAGGATTGTAATAATATTCGATTTTATTCGGGAATAAGTTATTCTTTTGTGTCCCTTTTCTTTTTTTTAATATTATCTCTTTGATAATTTTAAATAAATGTGAAACATATTTATAATGATCTTTTTATTCAGTTTGTTTTGATTAACACGTTGTTTCTAAGGTTTTAGATTAATACTTGATGTTAATAGGTGAAGGACCTTCTGCTATGTAAGGAAAAGTTATCAGGCAGATTTAATAAAACTTTTAACGGTTTCGAAAAGAAGTTTGAAAATATAATTGAACTTAAAGTTTTCCGTAATATCAAGGTTCAACTGTTGAATGAATTCTGAAATTCAAATATAAACAAAATTAGAAAAAATTAATATTACAAAGAAAAAACAATAATTTAATTGATATAAAAAATGGCAAATCCTTTAGAAAAAATTCAAGCACTTGATGCCATAGAAAAGGAAATCATTTTATGCATTCAAAGTGCTGGAAATGCTTTACAAGAATTAAGCAAAGAAAAGCCAAGTCAAAAAAATGCCGAAAATCATACCAGCCAATTTTTAAAATCAGTAAATAGTATTGAAAATAAGTTATCAGATCAAATTAACTACTTACTCCAAGTTTCAACAACATCTGCTCATGAAGGAAGTGGCTATGCATCTGCAAAAGTGCTTCAAATGGCTTGGCACAGAATGCATAATGTCAGACATCGAATCAAAGAATTGGAAGATGCTGGAAATAAGCATGCCAAGAAGCAAAGTCAAAATATGTCTCTTTCAAATAATTTACAACGGTAATTTATTTATTTTTATAAAGAATAAAAGTTTTCTCATAATAAAATTAATCTTTTCTCGTGTTATTTCTTCCTACTCCAAAAAAATCATTTTTAACCACGTAATTAACGCATTGTAATAAAACATTCCTTTCGTGCCTTATATCATCTTGTAGCAGTTTCTCAAGAAAAGAGTTAGCAGAAGATTTCCTGAGCTTTGCATAATCCAGAAGAGTTCGAGGCTTTTTGATACGATCATTGGCGACAGAATGGTCATGACTTCGTTTCTCAAATCGACGATCTTTGTCCTGAACTATTGTTTTTGCTTTGTCATCACGTTCTATTGGAAGTGTTTGTGGAATATCCTCAGGATCATTTTCGCAGTCGTCTTCTTGACAGTCAGGTAACTGCTGTTGGTTTTCTTCACCTTGTATTGGGGCAGAATGTGGTGGTACCTGTTGTTGATTTTCTTCACTTGCTTTTGGAGCAGATTGTGTTGATAACTGCTGTTGAATTTCTTCACTTTCTATTGGGGCATATTCTGTTGATAACTGCTGTTGATTTTCTTCACTTTCTATTGAGCCAGACGGTTTTGGGATCGTTGAATTCTCATTGATTTCAGATTCAGAAGAACTTTCATATTCAGAATCATAAACTCCTAATACAGACAAAGCGGTGATAGTCTTCACAATAGTTTCCATCTTATGATAATTCTTCATTTGTAAAGTTCCTTTGAAGGGAATCTTCGTAATTTCTTCACAATCTGAATCATCGTCCATATCAACAGCTGCTTGCAAATTGTGCTTAGTCGATTGGAATTTCTCTGCTTTATGTTTTACTAATTCTTCTAATTTTATTTCACATTTCCTGGGTTGAACAGAATCTTTATTATTTTGCTCGCGATTGAATTTGTTGAACCTCTGAGAATTTGTCATTTGTTCTCCTTCGTCTTTTCTGTGGTTTGAATGATTTTTGTTATGATGACTCCTAAATTCTTTTCTCTTCTGATCACCAAATCTTGACTGAGGATTTACTAATCTTTCTCCTCTTTTTGAACGAAATTCACGTGCTTGTTGTCGTAACTGAACATTGGCAATTGTCGGATATCTTTTACGACGCTCCTCACGCCACTTTTCAATTTGTTCAGGTGTAGTGAGGTCTTGAATTTTCGTCAGCACATTTCTCTTAATATGAACTTTTTGAATATGCTCAGCGACGACTTTTTCAGAAGCATTGAATTTGCATTGTTCATAAGGACATCTTTGATGTGCTTGGCGATGTTGAGATAGATCAATATGACTCTTAAATCCTTCCTTGCAAAACTTGCAATAAGCTATGAAGTGAATATTTTCTACTTTTGTTGCTTTAGTGCAAGAATTTTCCTCATTTTGCTTTGTGTCAACAGTTTTTTCATTTGTTTTTGTGGAAAATATCGGACTTGGTAAATTCATTTTTTCTTTCTCGATGTTTTATTTATTTATGAGTCTGAATTTTATCTGAAGAAAGAATAAAAACAATTAAAAGTATTTTTTAAAGGACTGACAAATATTTACTTACATTTCTTTAGATATTTACCATTAAATTTTTTGGTTCACGTTTTTGTTACAGTAGAACTTTGATAACCCGATAGCTCAAAAAATTGATAACCTCGATAAACAACAATTTTATTGTCACTCTTGAGCAATCGGTTTATCGAAATTTAACTGTGTTTGTTTACATTTTCAATTGTGTTTCTTGTCAACAGCATGGATATGAATAAAATAACTTTTGAACAATCAATGAAACTTTTAGAGTGGTCTCAAAGTTCCGGTAAGTCAGTATTATTAACTAGATATAGATTCTAATATATTTTATTTCAGAAAATGTCGAGGAATCGCTAAAAAAATTCGAAACTGAGCTCGAAACTTCTCGTGTATTAAACTACTTAAAAGCTTTCAAATGTCACTTTAGTGATGAACCCTTATCATGGAAATATTCATGTTATTTATTTTATCTTCTTTTAAATTCAATGGAAGATATGGTTTTACACACGAGCGACTCTCCAGATGAAATGTCGAATTTAAGCATGAATCAAATCAACGCAATTGTTGACGCTATTCAAAAATGTACTGAAAACTCTCTTGAAGTTTGTGTCAAAAAACATCAAAATAGGATCTCATATGATGTAAAGAATCAGAGTGATGATGAATATATTCGGTTGACAAGCTGTTTAAGAATGTTTCGAAAGTTCTTGACGATTCATTTCATCAACTCAAATAGTTTGTTTGACGATACTAAGTTAGATTATCTAATTGGAATCCTATCAGTTATTTCCTTAAGTCGACACAAAGACGATGTAATCGAATTTCAAGAGTTATATGCCCAGTCTACTAAAGATTTTTCAGAAAATCTTATTTTCAAATTTCTGATGATGATCAAAGGATTTAATGGATTTTCAAAAGATTTTCAATTGTTGGTGCATCGTGAACTATTCAAGTTAATTCGATCGCCTGTAGGGTTCTTTGTTTTATCTCAAAATCTCCTTGTAAAACCAAACGACTCTCAAGTACCCGTTTGGCAGAAATGGTCAATGGTTTCCAAGATATTTGTTGCTGCAATAAAAAATATTGACGCTTCATTATCAGATGAAATGATTCGTGATGTCTTCCAACGTTTAGATTCAAGTTTGAAAGCAAATGAAAGTAATCTGGCTGGTGCTTGTGTTTGCGTACTTAAAAGTTTAGAATCTAAAGATGAATTCAAAGCGTTAATTCATTCTTCAATTTTGAGTCCTTTAGCTGAACTTGCTCATCCTGACAATCAAATAAATGGATCCATCACTCTCAATGCCGACGAACTTGAAGCTGTTATTAAAACTCTTCACATTCTTTTCACTTCATCAGCAACTGCTTCACTTCCAACAATAATTATATCAAAATATTTACGATTACTTTTTAATCTCTACACCATCATTATGATTGATCAACATCCCGAACATGAGAAACTTGGTAATGTGATTGTGTCCTTCCTAAGCAACCGAAATTCAACAGAATTAAAAATTGCCATTCAACGTTTGCGTTTCCACGATGATTCCGACGTAAAACTTTTTCCACGAATAATTTACAATACGGAAACAAAATGTCTTCAAATGGGCGATGATCAAGGATATTTAAGAGACGATACTGAAGCGTTCCTTCAACTTTTAAGAAGTTCGAACAACAATCTCTTGATTTTTGATGTTTTTCTTTGTCTTATAAATATTTTGGGCGAAGTTCAGCATTCAGGAGACAATTTTCTTGTTGAATATAACGTTTCCGAAGAAAACTTACCAGAAGTTCTTCATCGAAAGTTCTTTAAGAAACTCACAATTATTGAACCGCTACAGGAAATGATTCAATGGAAATCACTTCATACACAGTTGAGAGAAAAGGCAAAAGAAGTTTTTGATGTGATTAGGAATGTTTTGACCAAATCATTAGAGAAAAAAGATGTTGATGAAGAGTTGACAATCGTTTTCTTTTCATTATTGAAGGAATTAACTTTCATGATGAATGATGAAGTTGAACAGGAAAATATTAAAAAAGAAATCAAAAAAATCATAAGCAAATGTCAAAATCTTCAATTGAAAGAGAAAATCGAGTCGATGATGGTGAATGTTGTGAATGAAGCAACAACTTCGATGGATCCTTCAAAACTCGAGTTTGAAGATGCAATGAAACTTTTCCGATCATCTGAAATTCATTGCATAGTTTATGGATCGGATACGTTGGTGAAGCTTCTGCGACGAAGAAATCCTCAAGCACTTTCAAATCGACATTTAATTCTTGCTGCTGCTTTGCATAACTTGAAGCAAAGTGAAAGTTATGCTTATCTTAATGTGATTCGATTATTCGTTACACTTTCTTATGTGATGGATTCAGAAGTTGTTGAAGCCCTAATTACGGAATATAAAAACAAAGAACGCGAGACTGACGAGAGATTGAAGACCGGTGAAGTTTTATTGAAAGTTACTGAAGCTCTTGGTGAAATGTCAGTGAAATATAAAAGTTTGCTGATTAATTGCTTTCTTGCTGGTTCCCGTGACACAAACAATGAAATTCGCTTATCAAGTTTAGCCAATCTTGGGACAGTTTGCAAGAATTTGAGTTACCAAATTTCAACATTCTTTCATGACATGATGACACAACTGCAAATCCTCATCAAAGACGACGAATATTTGCCTTCAAAACGAGCTGCCACAATGGTGTTGTCAGACATTCTTCGTGGCCTTCCAAATCTTTTAGATTTTCAAGAATTCCTTCTACCGATTTATCAACTGTTGAAAAGTATTGTCGAAAATGAAAATGATCCCCAAACGAAACTTCACGCTCAAATCGGCTTGGAACATTTGAATTCAAAGACAAAAGAATTTCTCAACCCAAAATTGAATGTTTCAAAGGAAATTAAAATTAATTTGGATGAAAATGAGCTAAAAATGAAGGATATAAAATTTAAATGAGATTTTATTGAGACATTTTAATTTGTTGAATTTTCACTGTTAAAATTAATAAAATTAAAATTCTTAAATATCAGTTGGAAGCTGCAGAAGCCAAAACTAAACGAGAATAGCTCAAAGAATGTTTAATTGGTGAAATTGTCTCATTTATCTAAACGTTCTTTGAGCGTCCTCGACATTATTTCAATTCTACTTATCAAGGTTCCAGCAACTTCCAAGTTTTTGTTCTTAAATTCTAAGAAAATCCTTTAAAGGAAATCTCTATGCTTGTTGAATTACCCAAGAAAATTTCTTATCACTAGACAATCTTCATTCCACTTAATATTTAAATCATTTCAAAACACAGCAAGTTGCTCCAAATGTTCGTGATTCCTCTTATTTCTTTTAAAAATATTAAGAAATATGAAACTTAGTAAGACAGTTAAAGCAACACCAATTGTGATTCCAATTAATGAATCAATTTGTAAGAAAACTTCATTTGTTTCTTCATCTTTTAATGATGAATGTCTTGAATATCGAACATTTTTAAAAGGTTCGCTCTTATTTCCAGTAATTGTTGATGAATTTGTTACTTTCTCAGTTGTTTCCAGAGAAATATTCTCAGTAAGGCTTTCGATATTTCCGATTGCATTTTCGATCGATTGCTCGTTACTTTCTTTAAGAACTAAAAAAGATTTGTCAACCATTTTGAATTGCCTTTCACGGGCACCGCGATCTCTTTGTGGCCATTCATCATCATCGAGAGCTTTCGAACTTCCTTTACTTGGAAGTGCTAATCGTGCTCTTACTGTTAACGTGTCCGGTTGGAAGTTGCAAATGACCAGAAATCTTCGACTTGAGTGAGTGAGAAGTCCGGAATTCTCTTGAACCGTGATGTAAGTCTCAACAGTGAAATCATCGTGCGACACATGAGAACCGCACTTCTCATGATCAATTCTTATGTTGTAAGTTTCACGATCATCTTTTGGATCGCCATTGATTATGCAATTTCCATTTTCTGAAATGATGCGACCCCCAAAATACGGACCGGTGTCAATCTGAATTTCAGATTCATTTGGCAAACACTTCGTGGCGACAGCTGAGAATCCTTTGGTGGGAATTATTATTTGTTGTCCGTCTTTATTATCGTCATCATTGTAAATTTGTGATCTTGCAGATTTCTCACTTTCACCATGTTTTGCTACTTTGACATTGAAAAAATATTTCGTAGCCAATCGAAGGTTTTTAATTATCGTGTTGTAAACTTTTGTGGATTTACTGGAATTATTTTTGCATAATTTAGAACACCACATTTTGTATTAATAGCAAGCATACTCACTTGTTATTATTTTTAACTGATCCCTGAAGAATTTTTGATTTGCATCGGTGCATTTCACCCCAACTTTGAAGTTCACAGTAATGAACAATAAAATTTTCTTCTTCATGATTTTCCGAGTTGGGAAAATTTTCATCTTTTGTTTCGACTTCCCATGTTAGATTAACTGACCGGTAATCAGGCTGTCCAAACAAAGATTTTATTTCTGAAAACAAACATGAAACATAATTATAGTGCTGCCAGCAACAACTTGTTAATTTCTTATAAATAAAATGAATAAATTTTCTGAAGCGCAGAATGAAAAAATCGTAAATAGCCAAACGTGCCTTCTGGAAGAAAAAAATTAATTTTACTCTACATAAATGCACAAAGCAATAAACGGACACTTCATTTGAGACAGGCAAGAAGTTTTTTCCAATTTGTTTTTTCTTTAAAGTTTTTGAGACAAAGTCTTTGGAACATAAACCGAAGAACCGTTGGCGTAATAAAAATGAAATTGTGTCAGTTCGAGATTTAACAGAGAATAATAAAGCTACGAAGAGAGCAGTCAAGTTAATAAATCCGACATAAAATTATTGTTTAATTGAAGTCTAATTCCTCATGAGAACGAGAACACTGCTGGGAATATGACGCCGAATATCTACATTCGTTTAGTTTATGTCTTTAGTGGAATTAACTCAACTTCTTCACGTGCCATTTCTTCTGCTTGCTTTCTTCTGTTTTGTTTTCAGTGCGATCGACAGAGATAGCGATAGAAATAGAGAGAGATAGAGATAGAGAGAGAAAGAAGTTACAACACAAATCTTGTCTTTAATTAAGTTGGTGAATTAATTTGTCTATTTTTGGTGTAATTAGCACGCCGATTACTGGGAATTGTGACAATTGAGATTGAAGGTGACAATAGAAATATCTCAACATTCAATCTGAAATCTGCTTAGATGTTTAATGATGTTCGCTTCATGACATTGACTCCATTCTCAATTTAAGATTTTGACTTCTTTTTCCCTTCTTTCTTTGACCATGAAACGACATGAATGACCAATCAGCCAGCCAACTACTTCGTTGACCTAATGACAAATTAATAATTTATGATCAGACATTATCAAGTTTCTATTCAAAAGTCCACCACATGCGCATGTTCATAATCTTCAGTTTAATTAAATGCACTATCATTTGTTAGTGATAAAATTGAATCGAACAGGCACAACTTCATACAATTTGTAGCTCTACCAACCTCGACAAGATCGCCTTCATCTGCACTCGATTATCACGATCGACTTGCGGTTTCGTTCCGCTTTTACTTTTCTCCCTCGGGCGGTTTTTGAATCAACACTTTTCTTGTTGATGAAATGCAAAGACTCGCATCTTAACAACCATTTAAGAGAATCTTCATCACTTCAACAATGAAAAAGATGCGCAATTGAAGATCGTAACGGAAATCTTTCTCTGATTTTTGAGATAAAAATTAATTTATGTCGTTTGCTTGTTCAAAAGTCTTCAATTAGATTTTCGCATGTTTTCGTTGACAATTCGTGTTAATTAACTTGTACATTCTTCATCACTTCCATTCCAATTCATGTGACACTTCTAAGGTACTGACACCTTTCCAAGTATTAGCATAATTAAGCTACCAACACATATCTTGCCACATTTTATCTTCTCGCATCTTTGCAACACAAACATCAAAGCTCCGCTTAGAGAAAGAATTACAAGATCTTCAAATGATGTTTCAATTCATCATTCCTACGTGAACTCGTTTATCTCTCATTTTCTTTGATCACTTCAAAGTTGAAGTTCATGAGAGTTGATTAGAGAAGCAACATGTGATTAACCAGCTGACGATGTCGACATTTGTGCATTTAAATGCATTTATGAAGAAATGTCAGAGGGCAGGAAGTTGAAGATGTTAATTAAGCATCGCAGACTGAAATTTGATCAACAATTAATGAAACTGGAATTGATGTAAGGTTGAAGACATAATTATGATTAGATTTGGATTTGAACGGTACAGATTGGATGTCGGATCGTTTCTAATGTTACCACCAAGTTGGATGAGATCTCGGACGAGATGTTTTGAATTTCCACGGCTATTTGATCCATTCACGCCTTATGCTCGATCCAATGAATGATTGAAGCCATTACAAGACAAACAGAGAAGCCCAAAACCTGCCTACTGATCGATCGCATTTGATCTTCGTTTGTTTTTCATTTTTGCTTTCCTTCCGTTTCTCGTTTTGCAAAACCAGTTTCGTTCTTTGATGCAAAAAAGAACAGTTTTGGTTCATTATGGGAACTGTTTTTGCTTTTTGCTTTTCTACTGAGATTCTGACGATTGTCAGCGATTCTTTTCGTCTTCATCTGCACATGATGATGGATCGAGTATGTAGAATCAAGTCGACAGCAGTTCTCAAACATATTTACTTACAGTTTTCTCAATTTCTGACTCATTTTAATGGATGTTACTTCGAGACAATGAATTCTCGTCTACAACAATAGAAATTCCCGTTTCGTCGCATGCCTTTCATCAACAACTGCTTAAGTAATCTTGCGCAATCTTTGAACGAATGAAGATTAAAAGTGACACGACGTGACACAATCGTAACAAATTTTATTAAATTCTACTCCATGTGGTTGATGATAATTACTTGCAGGCTTCTGTTGTGCTAATTTGCGAAGAGAATGTGAAGAGAATCTTGTGCGCTTCTTTCTTTTTAAAAGAAGACCAAAAGTATAGCCAAACCTCCATTCTTTACTTTTAATAAGATGCATGAAAATGTGCTGCGGTACTTCGTGCTTGTAACGGTAGAAAGGTCGAAACAATTGGGTGAGAGATTTGTTTTCTATGAATTCTGATTTTATTTTTATTTCTATTTTTGTTTTCTTCACGAAATTCGTCTTGAGCTTTGCAAATGAAATGGAAATTTTCTTCAAAAACAACTTCAAGCTTTTGTGCTTTTCTTTCATTAAGAGATTGGACGGCTATTTCAACCCATTTCTCATCCAATGATTCTACTTCAATAAGCATTGACCCAAAATTTTGTATTGTGTATCAGAAGGGAAATAAGACATCGTTGTTCGAGTGGAAAAAAGACTCAACATCATCGTGTAAGTTTCAAAGAAACAGTGTCAAGTTGAAAACGATTTCAACCTCAGACTATTAAAATATTTACGAGCTCAACTCATAATGTTTTCTTTGACTTTTATTCTTCGTTTTGGAAATTCATTTTAAAGTTTTTGTTCTGCACGTAAAAATTTGAAGAGTTCTTCATTGGTTGGTAAAAACACTTCCTGAAGATTTTTAATGAGAATTTTTATGCTGTGCAAACATTAGATTATCGTAAAATTTTTATGTTTAAAGAAGCTTAAAAAAGATTTATTTTGTAAAGAGTTTCGTTACTTTATTACTGTTAAATGATTTGGTTAAGTAGCAAGAACTGAAATTCGACATCAACATGAACCTCTGAATGAAACTCCCAGCCCTGAAATTAATAAACTTTCCAACTCACCATAGTTAAGATTGTTCAAATTTTCTGCCACTATTAGTTTTATTGTAAACACAAATAAGAATTTTTTTATACTCAAATATTCCATTTTTTATTTCTAAACTGTCTCCAAAAATCAAATCCAATTGCAATATTTTTGTTTATCAAAGATTTTTTTAGTCAACTTTTCAATTAAATCATTTTTAAGATTTATGTTGAAAGTAACTTCATTGTGGACTGAAATTATTTTAAAGTTTCTTTTTTCAACTTTAATTTATAGAAAACTTCGCTAACAAATCGTCTTGTAAAGAAACGTCTGCACGATACGAAAATATGAATGAAACTGAATCTAACTAACATTTCTCGACTACTTTTCTTTGTGCTTTCTTCTTTATGCTCTCAGAGAATTTCTCGTTTGAAACTTGATATTTCTTTTATTATTTTACGCAAGAAATTACCTTCATAATTGTTAACATAAATCTAAATAAATTTATAGATTGGATTTTAAGAGATTACACGAGTGATGTGTCTATAAAATAAAAACATAAATCATGAAAATCTGATAATTGAAATTTTTTTTTGAATTATTGCAGAAAGTTTTTATTGTTGTTGAGTTCATGAAAAAATGTTTAAATATTTAAATAGTAAAGTTTCAATATGGCACAAATTTAAGGAATGCTTTATGGCAAGTTCAACCCTCAGGCGTGTTGTTAAATTATTGCAGTTAAATGAAAGTTTCAGATGTGCATTTGATACAAAATAAAGTACAGAATTAATGCTTCATGCTTCTAGCAGTAAATAAATACCTTTAGGCGTCCTGAGATATTTACCACAGCGATCTTAATGCTGCTTTTTTCTTTCCTAACAAGATTTATGTTCTATTTAGCGGAAGTGGCTCATTCATCATTCTTGATTTTATTTGCTTATTTATTTATATGAGATTTTGCTTACGGAAAGATTTTATTTCCACCACTTTAGAATTCAATTCATGGACAAATGAAGCATTATGAAATATCCAAGTACTAAACATACTTTAGCTTACTTAAATAATAAAATATAAAAATCTTCGTAATTATTTAAGTTCACTGTAAATTGATATTCGATCCCGGTGTAACGGATTGAAATCAATAATATTTTATTTTATTTGAAATAAAGAAAAACATTTCATGAATTTTGCTTCTCATTCTGTTTGAGAGCTTCTCATTTAGCAATTTGTTTTGGATATGTTTCTAATAGTTTTCACCATTTTCACTTCTAAATATCAATCATAATTAAATGTATTTAGTCAGCGATTTCATTGAAGTAGAATCATTGGATGAGAAATGGGTTGAAATAGCCGTCCAATCTCTTAATGAAAGAAAAGCACAAAAGCTTGAAGTTGTTTTTGAAGAAAAT